CAGGTATACTTTCATGCTGTACATAAATTGCATTTTCCAGTAGTTGCATACTCATAACTATATGTATAACTATTTCCAATTTATCTTACGATCTTCTTCTATCTTCATAAATTATAATATAAGCAAAGTGAGATATCTAAGTGTATTAGAATTTAAAGTTGGAAGAGACAGAGTTCATGAAGGCATAAAACATTAAGCACATAGTTGTGAAATCATTTAATTGCTTAGGTAAGTGAAATTGACAATGCTACCATTTTATGCAATATTTTCTGCACCTTAAATTTATTTTTTTAGTATCAGAAGAGTTCTATCCAAATATGTCATCTTTCAGCATGTTTAATGTACTGCTTTGCTATACAGTTTTGAATTTTACTGTTAATAACTGATTGTATCTTTGAGCTCAAATGTAATATTTACAAAGAGAATTAGAACACTGATTTATAAATACACTAATTAAATTGACAATTTGTTCTCTGAAATACAAAAGCAAACTTGTATTACTCAAAAGTTTCTCCACCCTATTGCAGATAGGGAACATTTCTAGAAACAGAAATATGAATAAAATTTTTCTAATACTTTAGGAAATATGCCCTGGATCGATACTTTATATAATTTACAGAGTTTTTAAAAGTAAGACATTTCTTTTTATAGTTACTATTATCTACCTGCAATGCGGAAGACCCAGGTTTGATTCCTGGATTGGGAATATCCCTTGGAGAAGGAAATGGCAATCCACTCCAGTATTCTTGCCTAAAGAATTCCATGGAAGGAGCAGCCTGGTGAGCTACGCAGTCCATGGGGTCTCAACAGAGTCGGACACAACTGAGTGACACCTTAACTTTTCACACTGAATAATCATTTCAAGAAATGTAACATGTTTATTTAACATAAAATGGAATTTTTTTTGCTTTTGTGTATGAAGACAGCTTGCAGCATTTCCCTAGTTCAAGGTGAAAGCAGCTATTATTGGAATGTTCACCTGTTTGGCTTACAGGAAGAAAACAAACTAAAAAAAATATTGCAAATTATGTTAATTATATCAGTTTAAATTATTTTACATTTTTTGGTAATGCAACCTTTGAGTGCTTTTTAAATTCTACTTTTTGTTTAATGTAAATAACTGTAAAATTAACTCTTAACAGTAAGACTATATTGTTTAAATATTAAGACTCTTGTAATTTTGACCTCTCTCATATCTGACTAAGCTGCACATATATAGCATTATTTTTATATTAAATTTAAAACTGCATCATCACAGAGGTAGTGTGTTCTGGGTATTACATGGTCAGCTTTCACATTTACCCTTAAAGCACTTAACTAATGGAAATATTATTTTGATTTGAAATATTATATATTAAAATCTAACATAACAGTTGTAAAATAACTTTGAAGAAATATCAAAAAATAAAACATGTTTTGATTAAGCCTCTAAACTTTAATTTTGAAACTACCTGTGTATTTTGCATTTAAATGATGGTGACTTAAGTTTTTAAAGTTATCAAATCAAATATAATATTGATATTAAATTTTATAATTTAAGTACTAACTGAAACATCTAAAAATTGAGTACTTAGAAAAATTGAGTATGTCGGTATTTTACAGTAGTCCTTTTACAACGACTATTTTTTAATTTCCTCTAATTTTAAAGATTCTGGGAAACAACAATGAAGAAATTAAGGTCTTATAGAAAATATTCTTAAATTTTTAAACATTATACATATGTGGTAAGTTGGGCATAAACTTCTTTTCAGAATTAAGTGGGAAAATGTTTTCTAAAGCAAGCACAGTATAATTTATATAGTCTGTTTATAAAGGAAAGAATTTTAAGTTTTTTTTCTGACCTTCTAGTGTTTCCAAAATGGAAAGATATTTTTTAAAGGACTTAAAAGGAGAAGTTGATTTTGTTTGTAGTGCTCTATTTCTAGGGACTCTAAACTCCTATCTCATTTAGCCTATCGATAGTATATGTGAATGGATTAGCTGCCTATAGCCTGGTCCAAATCTGAACAAAACAGGTAGCTTCAATTATCTGTTGAGTTCTTTTTAAATGTCACAGATTTAAATCTCTGGATGTCTCACATTAAAAGTACAGAAAAGAGTGGTTTCTTTACCTTTGTCTTGTTCCTTTGGCTTGTTTATGTTGCTTTTCCACCTGCGTAGTTGGAGTCTTGCCTGTGAGAGAAAATCTTGAGTATCATCTGTAACATTTTATTCATATTTTATTTAAATTTCTGTCTTATAGTTCACAGGCTAATCTCTGTACGGTTTTCATTTAGTTAATGTAATTGAAAGCCACACAATGAAATAAAATAAGTTAGATATAAAGCTGTTTTGCAGTTCGTATCAAGTGAGAACAAATTGCTTACCTCACACCTGGAGAATCCGGTTCTGCCTGTTAGCTGCCTGTTCTTTAGATTAAAGGAAGGTTGTTTTCACTGGAGCTAGTTGGTAACAGGAAGTCCTTGTTAAACTGTCTGCTATAGAAAACTTGGCACAGGCTCTGAAATTCCTGTCCTATAGTGTATATGAAATACATTACTCACAAAAAAGGGCGTTTATAATTAAACAAAGATTACTTTGTTTTCTAAAGGTGTGAAACCTTGCTAAATTGTTGGAATTTGGAATAAATAGGAATGAAAAGAACCTTGGGTGAAGGCTTTTTGTTCAGTTTTCTTTAAAATAATTGAATTCCATCTTATTTTAGGGAATTCGCTTCGCTGGTGGCTTAGCTGGTAAAGAATCCGTGTGCGATACAGGAGACCTGGGTTCAGTCCCTGGGTTGGGAAGAACCCCTGGAGAAGGGAACAGCTACCAACTCCAGTGTTCTGGCCTGGAGAAGTCCATGGACTGTGTAATCCATGGGGCCGCAAAGCCATACATGACTGAGCAACTTTCACTTAGGAAATTATTAGTTGAGTTCCATCTTACTTTCTTTTTTTTTTCCCATCTTATTTTCTTAACTCAGAAAATTACCAAATTTCAGAACCACAACAGCCAGAAAGAGATGGTGTCTTTAAACTTGCAACTTTACTTTTCTCTCTGGCATGCCTGCTGTTTGTGAGTTTCGTTCATCATTTTCCACATGAAAAGACTGAAACTGTGCAGTGCTGCTATGCCCTTTATTATATCAAAAATTCGAAGTTAAGTGTTGCCAGAGTGAAATATTTGTAGGAAAACTCAGACATGAGATTTCTCTTGCATGACTAATTTTTCTTACACTCGCTTTTTCTCTGCCTGAGGTGTTATGTTTTGAGTATGACAGGTGGGACTTGGTATTATATCTATCAGAATATCATTTGTATTTATTCTTTGGTTTAGTAATCCCACTTCCTGAAGTCTTTTCCCACAATAAGGAATAATGCCTTCACACACTTATTCCTCACGGCCCTTTTTGTAAAAGCAAAACATTGAGAACTATCCATAAATACTACATGTAGTTCTTTAGTGGCTGAGTAAATGACGAAACATGCATATAATCAACATTTTGTTTATTAGTAAAGAATATAGTAATAAAGATGATCTCTTTGTACTGCTTCAGGGTAATTTTAGCATTAATTCACAGGAGTGTATATAGAATGCTAACGTTTGAGGAAGAAAGGGAGGGTATAGATACACATATAAACATCTGTTAACCAATCACTACCAGTGGATAGCCAAGGTGCCCAAATTGTGGTCTTTAAAATAGCATTTTTTCCATGTATATGTTTATATTATTAATAAAAAAACAGTAGGAGAATGAATGAAAAACTAATGAAAGTTCATTCATCCTCTCACTGTACACTCCCTGACTTGTTTTTATAGTTAGATGTTACAAGTAAAATTGACGATACTGCCATTTTTATACAGTCTTTTCAGAGGTATTGGTAGTGATGTTGCAGGAGTAGGCAGTGTTGGCATTGGGGGTGATACTGATTCAAAAACACTTAAAAGAATAAATTGTAATGTGTATCTGGTTTGGATCTGAATTTGGACATTACGCTTAAAGATTTTGAAGAATATTAATTTTTTTCAGAGCTTAGGTGTGACAGTGGTATTAGAATATTTTTAAATTTTAGGGTGAAGTGATATGACTGATGGGAACATGGAAGATATATAGATGAGCAAAAATGGTATAAATTTTTAGATAGGTGATAGGGTTCATTAGATTGATTATTCAACATATTTATGATGTAATATATATTTTCCTGAAATACTACCAAACCCTTTCCAAGACAGTATTTTATTACCTTTTGACCTCTGCCATCTGATAGGAAAATAGTTGTTTTGTTGTTCAGTTGTTCAGTTGTGTCCAACTCTTTGCGACCCCATGGACTGCACCATGCTAGGCTTCCAGGAAAACAGTATTTTGTGGTAATTCCTAACTTTTTTTAGAACTTGTTTTGGTTTTTTTACTTGTTCCCCAGTTTGTTCCTAATTGAGTATAAGGTTTTCTATGTCCAGTGCTGTGCTAAATAAATTAGATAAAAGTGACCTCATTTCTCCAGTAAATTGCACTTTTATGTGAACACATCCACACACTGGAAATACAGGTTAGCTCAAATAATACAAGCTTTGAATGACTATTCAGGTATGTGAAACATGATGCAGTTTGTATTTTAAGGAAGAGAAAAGACTTGGAATAAGGGCCTTTGCATCACGATGCAGTGTATTTTAAGAAGATAAGGCTCTAAGGTGAAAGGTGTAACTGATGGCTGAGAGCTGTGGAAACTCGTCCACTACTTTTTCTGTTTGTACTTTGTTATTGGCCTGTTGACCTATTGCTTGTTTTCTTGACATTTCTCTGTACTTGAATTCCCTTTTATAGGCCAAATCTTAAAAAATGTTTGCAAACTTAATAAAGGAAAAATGACGGAATAGAAGATAGTACATTGCTCTGTAAAACCAGCATGTTCTGTAATCAGCAGGGTTAAATCTTTGGAGTAGGAACTTGGTGAGAATGTTTTTAAGCAGCTGTCTGATTGTATATTTGCTGTAAATCCACTTTACTTGTGTCTCTCTAGGTTGGCAAATAAACAGGATAAAGAAGGGGCTCTAGGAGAAGCTGATGTGATTGAGTGTCTTTCTCTGGAAAAGCTGGTCAACGAGCACAAGTGCTTGTGTCAGATAGTAAGTTTTGAGGCTTCTTTTGCCCTATAAATTATGTTCGATATAACTTAGTTTTTGTAAAGGTAATAAGCAGTCAGAGAGTAGGCAGCTAACAAAATAATTTATTAATGTTTCTTTTCTAAATATTTTACCCAGGAAATACATGATCTCACTGTTCATTTGAAATTACTTAATACAGTGATATTTGTTTTCTGTTTAGTTGTTACTGACTTCTTTAAAATATCTTCCATCATTTCAAAGACTTCAGATTTGATTTTGTTTAAACATTGCTGACAAATACGTAAGCTATACAAACATGTTACTCTATAAATATTGTAAAATGGTGGAAGTATAAATACACAATTTATACTTAGGATAGTTTATAATGAATTTTGAAAGATTATATTAAGAGTCATCCTACAGTCTTAAAGATGAACTGAAGATTTAATCATTTATTCTTGGTTTCAGAAAATGATTGTTAGGCCGTCAATCTTAAAAGATGCTCAGTGGCATAAGTTCCCTGGTGTAAGAAATTAAAATTTTCTGCTACTTTTGTTATGCAGTGTTAAACAGCAGTAGCACTAATAGCATTTTTAACAGGTGGTTTTATTCTGTACGTTCAATTTTGTCTGTCAGCGACTTTGTTCAAGACTATCTAGCACTGCCAGCTTCTTGTGTCGGAATCACTCTCCAAGCTCACAGGTATAAATAAGCCATAAAGTATTTCAACTCATATATACATACTAATGTAGTGATTATTACAGAGGTGTCTTTTATAACTTAAAGAAGCAGGTGCTTTATATCATTAATTTAACGAGTTAATTGGTTCAGTTCTCCAGTAATTATACTAATGGTTTATGAATGAATATTTGTATAGGACTTTTAGTTTTAATCTTTAAGTAAAATAAACTTCTGTTTTTAAGGAACCTTGTTCAGCAGTCTTGGGATATGGAAAGAAAATTGACAAGTCCATTAAAAAGGGCCTTTATTGGCTGCTACATATTATTGCAAGGGACTTTGATGCCTTAAATGAACGCATCCAAAAAGATACAACCGAACAACGTGCTCTTGAGGAGCAAGAGAAGCGAGAAAGGGCTGAACGCGTACGGAAATTACGAGAAGAAAGGTAAGTAGATTAATTATATAGCACAGTGCATATGAAATGCCAGAAACACCTCACTTTTATGAATAGTTTTTTAGTTTGCCTATTCAGGTTCTTCTTGGTAAATTTTTTTTATTTGTGTAGACTTAGCAGGTTTGGTTGATAGAGTTCTAATTTTCCTAATGGTGGTATAGTAGTTATATTTATTGCTGCAGTATTTATCTCTCACAGTTTTACAATTTTTATTTCTTTATTTCTTATGACAACCTTTAGTGCAGTGGTTCTCAATCCGCAAGGTGATTTTGCTCCTCAGAAGACATTTGGCAATGTCTGGGAACATTTTTGCTTGTCATGGCTGGGAGGTGGAGTGCGATTGGCATCTAGAGGGTGGAGGCCAGGGATGCTGCTAACCGTTCTGTGATGCACAGGACAGACGTAGGAAAGAATGTGTCGTAGACTGAGATACTCCTCATTAGTGTCAGTGAAGATAGAAGGTAAGCTCTTAGTGGATCACTCAGCTGAAGCAAAATCTGATCTTCAACACTAGTTTTTGTCTGAAAGGAGAATGAATTGTACCATCTCAGGTTTTAAAAACATGTTATTAAAACTGTTTTTAAAATGTGTTGCCTAAATGGAAATTTTAAAAATGTTTAGCAAACTAAATTAAAAAAAAAAACTTTACATAAATTCTACCATTGAATCAATTATAATAATCTTAATGCCGGAAGAAACTAATACTCAGATTTGATTACATGCATACATGCTAAGTCGCTTCATTTGTGTCCAACTATGTGTGATCCCATGCACTGTAGCCCGCCAGGCTCCTCTGTCTATGGGATTCTCCAGGTAAGAATACTGGAGTGGGTTGCCATGCCCTTTTCCAGGGGATCTTCCTGACAGAGAGATTGAACTGGCTTCTCAGATTTGATTAGATGTTGAATTTAGTTCTTAATCCCAAGATTTCTCTTTCTTTCTTCGTTTGATTGTTACATGTCAGGGGAGGGAAGAAACAGAAAGATTTCCAAGTGAGCTCGTGTGGCATCCAAAGTTGTCTTCCATCTACCTAAGTAATACTGGTCTCCTGTGTGCTTTAACAATTGCAGGCTGGTAGGCAAGAGCCCACTAACTGTCCGTGGTGATGCCTTTGTGAGGTGCTCCCTCACACTGTCAAGGAAATCCTCTGATTGCTGGTATCTTTCATTTAATTCAGAGACAGGACTTATCTCTTGGAGGGATAACTTTTCTATCCTCAAGTGCTCAATAACATGAGCAGATCAGTGACATAGGTCTCTCTTGAACCAATAAGAGGTTTTAGTTCCTGTGAGAATCTTTGATTTTCTATTCTAGTGTATATTTTCATGATATAAAGCTAAGTACACCCAACCATTCATGTAAATATACCTTCTATGTATTTATGAAAACAAAATATATGGCCATAGTTTTCTTTTTTTTTATGGCCATAGTTTTCTAAAGGCTTCTTTGCTTTTGCTCCACTTAGAGAACAAGCAAAAAGAAAAAAAAAAGATTGAATAAAAGAAATTTAGTCTTTTTTTCCCCCCCAGTTTTAGCTTTTTCCACAAAGATGTTCCAGATCATGTTATGGCTGGCTTTTCTGGTACCCCTCTCCCCTTCCCTCCTTTCTCTGAGCCATGCCACTTGTCTTCGGAATCCTCTCCTGTTTAACAGAATCCACAATTAAATTTAGATGAGAGTGTTAAAAAGAAGAACTTTTTATTGTTAAACACAATTTAATAGGTTTTTAGATTTTTATAGGTTTAGATAATTTTGGAAAAAACAGTAAAACAGCTATTATTGGTATCTGAAAATAGTATATTAAAACCAGATACCTGAAATTACTTACTAATAAATGATCGCATTAATAATGATAAGTGTCCTGTAAGTATGTTTATATAGAGAGCTTTCACATGTATTAATTTATCTGAAATAGCTCTATGAAATAGGTATTTTGTCCACATTTATGGGAAAGCTGAGGCTCAAGTATGCAGATAAATGACCAAGGTCACAGAATTAGTAAATTGCAGATCACTAAATCTTGGCTTTCTAGGTTCAGGATGAGAGAATGTATCTTTCCATCCTAGAACTTAATTAATAAATGCAATAGTAATGAGCATTGACATTGTTCTACTATGCTTACAGTCTAGTTGCGGATCTAAAAGAGTCATGTTTCTGTCTATAGCTACTTCTTTTAATAATTTATTACTTTTATCTCTGGGGCAACATTAATTTTAAGTCACAGAGGTAATAAAATTCTCAGTAGTAACTAACATAGAAATATTTTTTTGGTTTGAGTGACAAAGGGCTACTTATTTTTATAGCCTTTTCTACTTATGCAAAGCAATAATTGTTATCTAGTTCATTTATGGTATATAACTGTATGCAGCTCTTAAGAGGTTTAACAGTAGAACTTATCTAGTTAACATTAGAGAAGAGGATTGCATTGGTTTGGGAGGGTAATTAAATTGATAAATATAAATCTTTATTACATAGAAAAATAATCTGTACTGCAGACATTAAGAAGTCAGTCATAGAGAATGTCATTTTTGTCAGCATTTCTTTCTTTAGAAATTCAAACGATTAATCTTTACATGGAGATAGAGGCCTATTACCTGCATAAGGATATCTGAAAATCAGTAATTCAAAGCCATGTCCATATGTTTAAATATTGAATTTAATAGCCATAAACCTATTGCAGGTGTTCTTAAACATGGTTTATCATTTTCTCATAAGGAATTCCAATTTTTTTCCTTCAAAATATAGAGAACAAAGAGAACAAGAACGGGCTGAACTCCATGGAACCAGTGGGATGGCTGAGTTGGACCCAGAACCAGTCATTGTTAATCCTTTCCAGCCAATAGCATCGGTAATCATTGAGGTATGGATAGTGGCGAATTAATTTTTATATGTTAAGTTATAAAGTTGGAAGTTCAGAAAGGAGGTGAGGAATAGGGAAAGGAGGCAGGGAGATAGTATTTCACCAGGGATTAATTATTTGTAAAAGAAATTAAAAGGGGGAGACAGGCTAAAGGTTTGTTGCTTTTTCTTCCTCTTCAATCTTCCCTTCTGATCTAGGGTTAAAAGGAAGAAGGATGGCTGCAGAATTCACTGAGAATGAAAATGAAGATAGGATGTACAACTATCTTATTGTTCTGATAAATATATTTTGTCACGTATCCTATGACAGTAGTGTTTAACTCTTATTTATGTTGTCATTATCACTGTATATTGCTATTACTATACTTTTACAGTAATATTTAGATGTTTATGAAGCATTAGTGTATGTAAATGATTTTCTAGCTATTTTCCCAGGATACTTAATGTTTGAAACTATGATATGTTCTTTTATATCTGAATATCATTTATTTTAATTTTAAACGTCAGAAGTTTAACTAAAATTAATTTGTAGATTTTAATCATAAGAAATTAAGGGTGAGAGAAAGAGTGTGTGTGTGTGTGTATGTGTGTATGTTTCTATATCTGTCTGTCTGTGTATCTGTGTCTGTTTTCATTTTCTACTGATGTTCAGAGTTTGCATTGGTCCTGCTTCAATCACTCCCAGCAGCTATGCTTCCTCAGTGGCGGAGCTTCCTAAATCGCCTCTCCATTCACTCAGAGCTTAATGTGGCAGGTGGCTCGCATGACCCACCTGTATGTTCTCCATCCCTCTTCCCCTGTCACTGCCTCCTTCCACACAGGTATTCATCTGGAAAGGTGGATGATTAGTTCTTCCTTGGGGCTGCTGCTGAGGAGGGAGGCAGCTCCACAGGTAAGAAGATGATTGTATAGTTTTTGGTTGCTTTATTTTTGCAAAATAGTCGGTAATATGAGATATTTGGTTTTAAGTTACTTAAGAAATGAAATAAATGGAAATATCCTTTTTCTCATGCAAGTTTTCTTCCCCAAAAAACTTCTCCTTTAAAATGTTACCTGACATTTTTTTCCTTTGATTTTTATCACAGATAATGAAAATGGTGAGATGTTGGTTCCAGGATACACAATGAAACAATAGTAACAAACAGAATTATATATAAGCATTTAGTATAAGAGAAAGGTGGCATTTCAAATCTGGGAGAAACAAGATATTGTAACAACTGAAGAGTCATTTGGAAAAAAAAGCAAAATTATTGAATACTGTATACCAAATTAAATTTTAAAAGATTTAAACATTAAAAAAAGAAGCCTTAAAAACACTTGAATATAATACAGATAGACATTTGTAAACTTGGAGGAGGAGAAACATTCAAAGCAGGACAATGAGCCCACAAATCACAGAGTGAAAAATCATAAAATGGGAAAAATAAAGTAGATCTTAGTATATTCAGTTTTTAAAGAGATGTTCTACAAAGTTAAAGACAAAAAAAAAAAAACCAAACTAAACGTAATGAAACATATTTGAGAAACATGGGTCAAAAAAAAAAGAATCCTTAAAAAATTACTGTGTAAATAATTAGACTCTAATAGAAAAAAGGGCATTGGGTTATGATGGGTAGTTCCTTATAGAAAAAATTTAAATGGCAATAAGGATATTTTATAACTTATCTTCAGTAATAATAAAAATAATAAATCAACACTGAGGTAAAAAAGTATTTATTAGTTTGGTGGAGACATAAAAGATTTATAATGATTAAAACCTGGAGGGGAAAATGGCAACCCACTCCAGTATTCCTGCCTGAAAAACCCCATGGACAGAGGAGCCTGGCAGGCTGTAGTCTGAAGGGTCACCAAGAGTCGGACACAGCTGAATAATTGAGCATGATGATTAAAAAAGCACTGAAAAAGATGTGGGGTGGGGGACTTCCCTGGCAGTCCAGTGGTTAAGACTGCACACTTCCAGTATAGGGGGTGCAGGTTCGATCCCTGGTGGGGAAGTAAGATCCTACATGCTGCGCTGTGCAATCAAAAAAAGGAAAGACGTGGGAAAATATCATTCTTTCAGTCCTTTTCCAGTGGTGTAATTTGACATTAGTTTTTATGAAGTAAAGTTTGTAGTATGTCACATTTTAAAATGTGCTTTACCCATTGATCCAGCAGCATGACTGTTAGGAATTTATTCTGGAGAACTAATTCAATAATTGTATTTCTTGTAATAATGAAAAATTGAAAATCACGTCTTTGTCCATTGAGTGGGAGTTGGTAAAATAAGTTATGATAGAATTATTCAAAATAATAGTGTAATTGATGAAAGTAGTAATAGCTTACACGTACATTATAATATAGGGAATCCCTGGCGGCTCAGTGGTGATTTAGCTCAAGAATCTGCCTGCAATGCAGTAGATCGCCTGCAATGCAGGACACTTGGGTTCCATCCCTGGGTCAGGAAGATTCCCTGGAGAAGGAAATGGCAACCCACTCCAGTATTCTTGCCTGGGAAATCCCATGGACAGAGGAGCCTGGTGGGCTACAGTCCATGGGGTCGCAAGAGTCAGATATGACTAAACCATAGCATACAACTAAACCATAGCATAATATAATACTTTCATAGGTAACACTTTACTAGGTATGTGTCATGCACTATTGTAAGCACTTCATAAATTGATTGACAGAGAAAGAAATATGTATTCTTAAATCTTTGATTCTTTTCTGTTTAAAAATACACATGTGCTTGTGCTTAGTCGCTCTGTCGTGTCCGACTCTTTACGACCCCATGAACTGCGGCCCTCCAGGCTCCTCAATCCATGGGATTTTCCAGGCAAGACTATTGGAGTGGGTTGCCATTTCCTTCTCCAAAAATATACATAAATATGTATATGTTGAGAGACAGTCACATTAATGTATGTTTGTGGATGTGTATGTCTGTATGTTTGTGGGATAGGCAAAGAAAAGCACCTCTCACTGACTTGTACATCAAATAGTGATCATCTCTAGACTGTGGAATTACTGGTAGTATAAGTGTTCTGTCTTTATAGTCTCTGCTTTCTGAATGTTTGGCAATTAGCATGTTTTAATGATATATTCAAATAATTTTTAATGGAAAATCACACTGTGAAGTTACATAATGCTCATGAATTATTTGATTTCTCCCTTAAGCTATCTTAAATATGACCACTATATTAAGAATGATACATTTCATTTTTGTCAGAATGAAAAAAAACTTGAAAGAGAGAAAAAGAGGCAAAATACAGAAGACAGTGATGGCTGCCCCCTGAAGCATAAAATGGAGCATGAGCAAATAGAGACACAGAGCCAGATCAGTGACAGTAGCCAAAAAAACAGTGAGTTTGGAGTAGTAGAAAATTATAAGGAGGCGTTAACACAGCAGTTGGAAAATGAAGATGAGACAGACTGGAGATCATCAGAATCAGGTGATAAATCTAGTTATTAAAAATATATAAATTATTTATTTTTATGGTCATTGTGTTTATTTTTAAGTTTTATGTATTATATGTGACATATAAATAACATATATAAAACTTAAAAATACTTTTTCATTTGTCATGGTTATTTTCACAAAGAAATGTATCGTAAGATTTTTTCATCTCCAAATGCAATGTTTCTTATGTTTTTTTCATGAATTTTAGTTCATCATTAGTTTGCTAATTTGTTTTTATTCATGATGTCTTAGAACGTAGCCCTTTGTAACTGAAAAGAATTTCAGCTGAAAATTCCATTTTCAATAATTAGGAATATTACATAGCCCCGGAATCCTTAGAGTGTATTTAAAATGTTTAAAATTCTTGGAGGGTTTGTTTTGTTTTTCTTAATCTTCCAAAAGTTATAGTCAGCGTCATTTTCTTTATTTACTTGTGATTTAGGGGATGCAGACATAACTGAACATTTGGCAGAAACCAATACAATACTGTAAAGCAATTATCATTCAATTAAATTTAAAAAATATAATTTAAAAGCCATTTTATTATCAAATATCCATGTTCCTCTTATTTTAATATTATATGAAATCTTTAATTTATAGTTACTTTTCTTTTTTTAAATTAGTTACGTGATTTAACAGGAAATTTATGTCTTTTGGTGTCATAGAGAGAGACCATTTGGACTCACACAATCCGAGGTAGCATCCAGACTTTCTCATCTGCTAGATGTATGTTATGTTACATGGTGTTCTTCAGTCCTTGTTTTTCTCATCTCAGAAATGGAGTTTTCATCTTTTTTTTTTTTCAACCAGGCTTTTAGGTTTCCTTATAATAAAAGTAACCCTACAGTGTTCCTAGCACAGGGCCTGACATGAGAGATGCCCAGGAACCGTTGCTTCCTTGCCATTCTTAGTTGGTGATACAGTAACTAGGTATATGATATATTTGTAAGAATGGTATATAAGAATTTTTGTATAGTATTAAAGAGTTTATGAAAATAAGGTCTCAGTCCCTGAGATGCAGAGTACCTAACATGGATGTTTTGCTATATAAAAATACTTAGATTTGAAAGTTATACTTTTTGTAATTTGGGAAGTTGGGGTATCCACATTTGTACCCATATCACTCTGTTAACAGTAAAACAAAATGTAGACTTAAAGTGGCCTCTAAATATATTGGAAGAGCTCTTTCTAATAACACTAATACGTTGTTAAAGAACAAAATAATTTGGTAGATGATTTGAAAATATTAACACAACATTGTTATTTCACATAGCAATCCTGAGGTATATTTTTCTCATTATGTAGAGTAGGACAGCAGGGACTTGGAAAGGTTGAGTAATTTGCGATCACACGTCTCACCTGTGACTGTGCTGAGATACACTCCCCTCAACTTTCGATTCTCTGTTGCATAGCCTGTGCTCTTCCATGACCCTGACTTATTGCCCACGCTAAAGTACCATGTGATTCTGGAAGCTCTCTTTCCTTTCTCCCAGCTGCAAAGCTTATAGCTTTAATTGTAAAAGGATGTCTCTGTTTATATCTAGAGTAAAATGTTCTCAAGTGACACTAACTTATTTTGAAAAATAATGAGTTTCCAAATATAATTGTATTTCTTACAATGCTTTATAGGTTTCATAGATGTTGGCTGTTTCTTGTGTAACATAATTTCCATTTTAGAAAATGTATTATATGTATAAATTTAGTGATTTGGGATTATTAATTAAAATATTTTAGTGGCTCTGCTGTTTGATTATTTAAGTACTATATCATCCTGGTTTATGTTGTTAAAGTTTACATGTTAACATAGATTCACTTAAAATGTCTATATGTGCTTAAGCGAGAATCTGTAAATATTTAGAAAGATTAAGATTCAATTCTGTAAGCTCTAATATGAGTTTTGGTTACATACATTTATATTGAACATCTTGGGCATTATTTTCTTAGATAATGTGCTTTGGTTTGATTAGGGTCTTTTTTCACATTTCAAAGGATTATTTTTGGGCTTAGACCTGGATTCATTCTGTATATCCTACTGAGACAAACCGATACCTGTCTTTCTTCCCCAGGTCATCCGTAGCTTTGTAGAAGTCTCTGTAATTAGATAATCCCATTTATTTATTATGACACTTGAAAAAAACTATTACTTTTGGAAATATGTATTTTTTTTTGTATTCTGAATCACTTCTCATTAAACTTAAAATATGACTTTTTGCCACTCACATCGTATTTATTAATCATTCAATAAGCAATCACTTACAAATTTATTCTTAGAAAAGGCAAGTTCACAGTTCATTACTGTTAACAATTTTTAAGTTGAAGTTATATTTCTATGGTAATAATAATATCAATATTCTAATTCTGTTCTTTTTTTTATTATAGAAGTAACTTTTTCCAAAAGGCATAAAGTCGCATGTTTATATTCTTATAGATAGCAGTAAAAAGAAAACTAAGAAACTGAGGATGAAAAGGAGCCACCGTGTGGAACCTGTTAATACAGACGATTCTGCTCCTAAGAGTCCAACACCACCCCCGCCTCCTCCTCCTGGTGAGCAAATTGCTGTTGATACTGAATTTAGAAATACTGCCTTAAACACTGAAGAAAAATTTTAAAAATCATGCAGTTTTTATTCAGAGCATTCATAATCTTGTGAATTTGTGAGAAAGGTAGAATTCTTTGTTCTGTCTACTTAGTTCAGAATTTATCAACATAAATATTGATTTTTTTTTATTCAGAAAAAAATGCTTTATGAAAGTAAAAAAATAGTAAAAATTAATAAGACATCTTTTTCATCACTAAGCATTGTACATCACATATTCAGTAAATACCTTACAATGTATATGTTTGTAGTTTACTTTTAGTCTTGCTAGAAGGCGTAAGATGGTAACATTTTCCTTTGAGCCCCATTTTAAGACTCATTTTTGATATTCCATCTAATAGTGTCCATTTCTTTTAGCTTCTGTTGGGACTTAGGTTAGTAGCCTAAGGTTATTTATGTTGGTGGTGAGGATGCTTATATTTTTAACTAAAGGGAAACAAAAAGCAAGTATTACCAACCTAAAATTACATTCTAAAACAGAAACCATTTAAAATGGGTTTGTGGTTATTTGGTAATATGTCATTCAATATGTATGAACTGACATTGAAGTTGTATACATTCCTGTCAAGAGAGGGATCCTCTTAACAGACCTAAAGAGATAATGTTTAACAGTGTTTTTAAATGTCTTTCTTTTTCTTCAGTTGGCTGGGGAACCCCCAAAGTCACTAGACTTCCAAAACTTGAGCCTCTTGGTGAAACACGTCATAATGGTAATGCCAAAGGATCAGTTTTCAAATGTCTATACATATCACGTTCATTTTTCTTTACCTCATTACTTCAATAAACTTTTACTTTGGGGAGCCTTTCAAATCCACAACCATCCTTTTTCATTTTACTTCACTTTCATTTATTTAATTTTTTATTCTTAACTGCCCTTTGCCTCAGTATAATTTGATTTAACATTTATCTTAGAAAACAGAAGTAAAGACCATCATAGCTTGTGTTCATCCATTATATATTAATATAAATAGTTGTAAAAGAGAATGATTTTAAGGCAGCTTAAATATGAGATAGTACAATTATTGTGTTTAAAACTTCATTGTCCTATATATGCTCCTATACTCAATGATGCATGCATGCTAAGTCACTTTAGTCATGTCCAACTCTTTGCAACCCCGTGGACTGTAACCTGCCAGGTTACTCTGTCCATGGAATTCTCCAGGCAAGAATACTGGAGTGGGTAGCCATTCGATTCTCCAGGGGATCTTCCCAACCCAGGGATTAAACCCACATCTCTTACGTCTCCTGCATTGGCAGGAATGTTCTATACTACTGGCGCCACCTGGGAGGCCCCAATGATGATGAGTGTGAAAGTGAGTTGCTCAGTCGTGTCCGACTCTTTTGTGACCCCATGGACTGTAGCCTACCAGGCTCCTCCATCCATGGAATTTTCTAGGCAAGAGTACTGGAGTGGGTTGCCATTTCCTTCTCCAGGGGATCTTCCCGACCCGGGGATTGAACCCTGATCTCTCGAATTGCAGGCAGACGCTTTACCATCTGAGCCACCAGGGGATCTGTAATTGCTCTTTCTCTGCTTCTGAGGATACTCAGCTGCTGAAAGTACAATAAAGTAAAGAGTAACGCAGTTTGTAAGATCAGAAACCAAATCAGAAACCAAATAAAGTTCAGCTTAGTAAAAGTGAAGTCGCTCAGTCGTGTCCGACTCTTTGCGACCCCATGGACTGTAGCCTGCCAGGCTTCTCCGTCCATGGAGATTTTCCAGGCAAGAATACTGGAGTGGGTTGCCATTTCCTTCTCCAGGAGATCTTCCTGACCCAGGGATTGAACCCACATATCCCGCATTGTAGGCAGACGCTTTACCATCTGAACCACCAGGGCAGTTACTAAAGTCTTCACTGAATCAAGAAAACACTTTTGTGGATGAAATGAACATAAGGTGTAGTGCAGCCAATATAGGGTGTAAGAGCTCTGCCTGGAAACTTGAAGACGGACAGTGGGGAATACAGAGCTGCCCTTTACAACAGGCAGAAGTTCTGATTTCTCACATGCAAAAGGATGACTTATACGTATAGAATTGTAGTTCAATAAAATTCATCAAGAACATCTCATTTCCTTTTTGATAACTCTGTTTACCTAATCTTGAACTTGGTTTCCTAAGAAGATTCATTTACTACAAAAGAAAAATTCAGAAGTTTAATCTTTCAAAAAGCATTATATATAATTTGAAATTATAGCAAACTATATAAACTATTTTACTCAAAAAGTATTTAAATTTAAATGTTCTGGTTGCTTTCTTTTTCTGAATACTGTATCAATAATGAAATATTTCTTCATAATCATTCAGTTCAGTTCAATCGCTCAGTCGTGTCTGACTCTTTGCTATCTCATGGCCTGCAGCATGCCAGGCTTCCTCGTCCATCACTAACTCCCGGAGCTTGCTCAGGCTCATGTCTGTCGAGTTGGTGATGCTATCCAACTGTCTAGTCCTCTGTCATCTGCTTCTCCTGCCTTTGGTCTTTCCCAGCATCAGAGTCTTTTTCAATGAGTCAGTTCTTTGCATCAGGTGGCCAAAGTATTGGATCTTCAACTTCAGCATCAGTCCTTCCAATGAATATTCAGAACTGATTTCTCTTAAGATTGTCTGGTTTGATCACTTTGCAGTGAAAATTAGAAGATTTTTTAAATTTCTAAAGACAGAAGGTTCGTCCTTCAATTTCAAAATAACAGTGAAGTCACATGTCTTTTTGGTGCTAACTTTACATCATGATGTTTTCGTTGACTATAATAGATTAGTTCCTGTTTGTTTATATTTTGAAATTGTATGTGTTAGAATATATTATCAGCTTAAATATTCACTATGTTGTTAGAAACAATTAGGTAGTGCTAATGTATGTGTATATAAATATATATACATGCGTACATGTGTGAGAAGAGTTAATAAGCAGAAGAAATAAACTAGTCAAAGATGGAGAGGTGGGAAAACACATTGCTTAATTTGGAAAATAGTATGAAGTTACTTGTGACTAGATCTTAGGTTCACGTAGGTGGAACAGGTAAGAAATAGGAAGTTTAAAGTTACAGAGATACTGAAACTAGAATTACGGCTTATAGCCAGATTGTTTAGGGCCTCACATATATATTTAAGATGTCTAGACTTGCTAATTTTACAAGAGACAATACACATTTTTAACAGGAAATAGTATTACAAGAGTTATTGTTTAGGAAAGTAATTTTTGTCACTATGTATAGACTAGATTGTGCCCACACCTAAGGTTAGGATCCCAGTTAGAAGCTATTGCAGTAGTCAGTTAGAAGTGAAGAGTGGGAATTGGAATGGAGAATAAAAAATGTGTTGAGACAATATTGAACAGTTATAAGTTCTATATGAAGAATGAATGTATGAGATGAAAGAAAAGGAACAGAATATTATTTGGCTGAAGGGGCTAGAAGGTTGGTGCTATCTCTAATGCTGACAATATATGAGGAGAAAGAAAACTTGCTTTGGAGGTATCTGTAGACTTACCTATTTGGAAATGTCCATATATCAGTGCAAATAAGATTCTGGAACTCTGGAGAAAGGGGACTCAGGTGGGTGGAAGGGTATGTAGGTAGTTTTTGTTTTGTTTTTCAGTTGTCATCATATAATAGAAATGTGTTGTCCCTAATAGATGTTGTATATTTGTTTACTGAATGAATGCAGTTGAAGGAATGATAGTTTACTGTTTCTGAGGGAAGGTATGTAAAATAAGGAGAAAAGAATGGTAGCATCTGGGGGAACATTAGTTAAAAGCAACTAAAAAAGAGGTTGAAAATGGGCTAATAAGAAGGTTGTTTTTTGTTTTTTTTTCTTTGCTCTCCTATATTTTTAAATTAGAACTCCTAGAAAAGGATTATAATGAATTAGTTAAATTTTAAGACCACTGTTATTCTAACATATCAGTTAATTTTAAGTAGATCAATAAATTTAACTTCTCAAGCAGAGAATTAAACATTCTAACTTCACAAGTTTTAAAATATCTTCATTATTTTTTTCCCATAAATTTTAAGTCAAAGTATACCTTGTATAGCTAAGAAAAAGTATGATCAACTCTGTTTTCATTATGGAGAAGAAAGTCAGTATAATAAATTTAAAATTGTAATTAAAAAGTTTAAATTAGTTTTTAGTATTTGTTGTGAGATTTTTGTTTGAGATGCTGATAGTTGCCAATTTTATCATCACATCCTCTTCTTTTTCCTAACTGTATTAATAAATATTTATTTGAATGTGGTTAATGGGAAGTAGACAACAGACATATAATAAGCAAAGGGAAATAATTAAGTTAACTGCATTTGGGTTTGGCACTTAAAATTTATTGAGATGAAAAATAATTTTTTATAGTCAAATTAGGAATTAAGGCAGATTTTTATCTATTCTTTGATTATAGACATCGATTCCTTGATGGCAATTCAATTTTACTTTTCTAATTGCTTTATTTTCTGTAAACCTCACTCTGGGTAATATGTAAGACATGCATTCAGAGAATACACTTAAAAACTGAATCTATATTCACTTTGTAAATACTCTTAATCCATACTTCATAAACGTTACACATTATGAGAAATAAACATTCTGTTGGCCAAAAATGCCAAGTATAAAGCTAAAGAATATTTTCAAATCTTAAAATATGAATGAAGATTATATTTTGTATGTTAAGTTTGAAGCCCTTTATTAAAATGGGTATCAATTAATTTGGTCATATCAGTTGGTCAGTATGGTCAACTTATATCCCCTACGGTTAAGACAATAAGAAATCTGTTTCATATAGAATGATACAATTTTCTGGCAATGATATAATACAGAATCAACTGCAATTGATACTTCTTGTCACGTGTATGTGATTTGGGTACTTTTCAATTCTAGAAGTAAAACATAATATTCATTCTAGTTTAATCATGAGTTCTGTGATGTGTCAAAATTCTCATTAATTTTGAAAGCAAGAAATTAGAAAAGGCATACTTTAAATTTATCAAAATAATTGTATCTTATAATTTTATTAATAGTAGTACTAATAACTGTATACTATGTCCCTGGCATATTGATAAGCACTTTTAAGTACATTATCTCATTTTAATTCTTCTAATAGCCTTGTCAGATGGGCAGTTTTGTGTGTGAGAATCCTACACCCAAGCTCACATAGCTATAAATGACACAGAATTTGAAGTTAGGTCTGTTCAGCTTTGAAATCCATACTTTTAATTCATTTTATTAACATTGTTATATTAAGATTTGTTAGAGCATCATGGCAGCTTAGTATTCGCTTTAAATTTATAGTTGCTTGAACAATCATTTTCTCCTAGTTTTTTTTTAAGGAGAGAATATACAGTTGATATAAAATTTTTTTAAGTAATGACATAATTGTGGCAAATATAGCATTGTCTGTGGTACATTGGTAGAGGCTGCATACTGATGACACAAGAGCACCTCTCGTTGTTGAACCAGATTGATGCTCAAAATGAAGGAGGGGTGTACATGATGTTGGGAAGTCTCATTATTGGTGGTGCTAACCTCCCATCATTTGAATAAGGTGATATTTGCCACATTGTAAAATGTTACTGTTTTCTTTGTAATTAGTAAATATCACTGAAGTGATACTTTGAGATTATGCAAATATTCTGTTCTCCACAAACTTTAGCTTCTGTTTTAGCATCTGTCATTGGATTGTGTGTGCAATAATTTTTACTGTGGTATTTGCCTAATTGTAATTTTCTGTTACTCTTTCCTTCATTGAAATTTATCCAATTTCATTATTTTATTTTTTATTTTTTCCTTCCAGTTTTATTGAAATATAATTAATCTAAAGCACTGTATAAGTTTAAAGTGTATAACGTAATGTTTTGACTTACATACATCATAAAAAGTTGCCACAGTAAATTAAGTAAACGAAATGCATCATCCTATACAGATTAAAATGGGAAAAAAAAAGGAAAAATTTTTTTCCTTGTGATGAGAACTCTTAGGATTTATTCTTTAACAACTTTCATATATAACATACAGCAGTGTTAATCATGTAATTATATTAATAATGTTTTACATTACATTCCTAGTACTTATTTTATAACTGGAAGTTTGTACCTTTTGACCACCTTAATCACCAAAGATGCAAAGATTATTACTGACTGTATTCCCCCCTCTGTACATTTCATCCCTGTGACTCATTTATTTTGTAACTGGAAATTTGTACCTGTTAATTTCCCTCACCTATTTCACTCATTCCTGCACCCCACCTGCTGCCTTGCCATCCCTCTCCTCTGTCCAGCAACCGTCCGTTTGTCCTCTATCTGACTCTGTTGCTGTTGTGTTTGTTCTTTTGTTTTTTTGTTTGTTTTTTAGATTCCACAGATAAGTAAAATTATCCGCTATTTGTCTTTTTTTGACTTATTTCACTTAGCATACTACTAAGTCCATCCATGTTCCTTGTTTTTTATGGCTTAATTATTGTGTGTGTGTGTGTGTGTGTGTATGACATCTTTATCCATTCCTCTGTTGAAGGGCACTTAGTTTGCTTCCATATCTTGGCTATTGTGAATAATACTGTAATGAATATAGGGGTGCATGTATCTTTTTAAATTAGTATTTTTGTTTTCTTTGGAAAAATACCCAGAAGTAGAATTGCTGGATTGTATGGTAGTTCTATTTTTAATTTTTGGAGGCATCTCCATACAGTTTTGCATAGTGGCGGCTGCTGTGCTGTTTACATTCCTACCAACAGTGCATGAGGTTTCCTTTTCTTCATATCTTCGCCAGTGTTTGTTATCTGTGTTGTTTTTGATGATAGCTATTCCAACAGGTGTGAGGTGATACCTCATTGTGGCCTTGATTTGCATTTCCTTAATGATTAGTGATGTTGAACATCTTTTCATGTGTCCGTTGGCCATCTGTCTGTTTTCTTTGGAATAAAGTCTTTTCAGATCTTCTAGCCCACTTTTTAAATTTTTTATTTTTTTGGGATATTGAGTTGTATGAGTTCTTTGTGTGGTTTGGATATTAACTCCTTATTAGATGTATTATTTGCAAGTATCTCCTCCCATTCAGTAGGCTCTTCTTTTGTTGATAGTTTCCTTGCTGTGTGAAAGCTTTTTAGTTTGATATAGCCCCACTTTTTGATTTTTCCTTTGTTTCTCTTGATTGAGGAGACATACCTAAAAAATATTAAGACCAGTGTCAAAGTGTGTACTGCCTATGTTTTCTTATAGGAGTTTTATGGTTTTGGATTTTATGTTTAGTCATTTAAGGCTTATGTTTGTATACAGTGTGAGAAAGTGATCCAATCTGATTATTTTGCACATGACTCTCCAGTTTCCCCAATACCACGTATTGAAGATGCTGTCTTTTCTCCACTATACATTCTTGCCTCCTTTGTCATAGACTTTTGTTAGTGGTAGCCTTAGAGTTTGCAATATACATTTACAACTAATCTAATTTTTCAAGCTATTTTCTAGGGCATGTTCTTGCATGAGGTGCTAGTATCTATTTAAGACCCCCTTAGGCCACTTGGCCAGACAAAATGGATGCTGAGGCAGCAATATCATGGAGCCGCTTAGCTGAACTCTGGCACGAGCAGAACTGGAAATGGGCCCCTTAATACATTTTTAATATATTTATTTCCAGTGACCTTGAACACCTTTGCTTCTAGAATAATTTTTGGGTAATAGGCCAGAAAAACTGAAGTTTCCTTATGCTATTAAAATTTATAAACCAATTTATGATAATTAAGGGTAGGAACCTATTAGGAAGTACAAATTAAGACTGTTTTTGTATCAAATATGCCCTAAATCAATGAACTATACTGAAGTATCATTGTAAAATACTCCTAATACCAGAACAAGATAATTAGTTTTTCTTACCAAATTCTTAGAAATAATAAACATTGGATAAGAACATGGATTGTACAAATACTGCTTTTATCAGGGCTTTGTCAACAGGTTCCATTAGTTTTGGATGTTTGTTATTTGTTTTGTTCTGACGTGAACACTTACTTGGAAATAATATATATATTAGGTGCAGCTTTATATTAAATCAGTAGAGATTAATTTATAACGTCGAGTTAAAAATTTGCCCTAGTGGTTGTTTTCTGAATTTATTCAAGTTTTTTCCAATTCAGACTTTTTTCCCCAATCTGCCCTACACATTGCTTCACTTACAAGGTCAGAGTTTCTTACTCTTTTAAAGGTGTTGGTTGGAAATAAATGAATTGTGTCAGAAATCTTGATTTACCATAACAATTAGGTATTTTTGGTGTACCTTCTTTACATAGATTTCTATGGAAAGCCACTGCCTCCCGTGGCTGTGCGACAGAGACCTAACAGTGATGCTCACGATGTCATCTCATAACCACATCATATGGATGTGCTCTCTTTACATCAGCAAGATGAACTGCAGGGCCTTCTTTCTCAACAGAGGAAAACCTTGAACATCGATGACTGGGGCAAGATAACCATAACAATATCAGTGAGCCAAAGACCTGACTGTTCTGATCATTAATTACTTATCCATGGTCTTCATGGTTTAAAAAAAAGACCAGCAAGTGGGATGAGCGTTTGGAACAAGTTAGCAAGAGTTAGTGTTGACTCTGGTTTATACATCCCCACTCATGGCTGTATTCCTGAAGGAAAACCTGTTCAGAAAAAGAGCCAATGGACTCTCTACACTTCCTTTACTATTTAATAGTCTTTATTTCTTTATTTTAAATGTTTGTAAGATATATGTGCATGGAAAGGGGATTCTTGGGAATTTATAATCTCAATTTTTAACTTTTTATATTTTTCTAGAAATTTTGTTTAAGGATTTTAATTACTATGATATTGACTGTGCACTTTTCTATAGATGGTTTGTTTCAACTGTGTCTGGAAAATGGAATTGATTTACTTGACAGACATGAACTATACAAACGAGATATATTTATATGGTTTGAAGTATGTTTTATAATAGTATTGTTCTTTAAGTATACATCTTAATTTGACCTTAAGGTATTTTTAAAATAGATTCTCAGATTTTTATTTTACCATATTATGTTATTTGAAAGCACTAATTACTTGAATGTTTGTTGCTGTTTGTTTTCTTTGACGACATTCCCAATAAATGAAAGACACTTGCAATTCCTTTTGACTTAAATGCTTTTTAAGTTAATAGAAATGTTTTATGAGATACTATTAAAAGTCCCAGTAAACCCCTCTTTCAAAGATTAGATCTTTTCAGAAATCAAGGTGCTCCTTCTCACTCCTTGTTCTGTCAGAAGTTTTAGTAACTCTTGTAGGTTATTCTACCTCTTTTGTGTCTTGATGTTAAAGGCAGAAAGACCAAGAAAGCTACTATAGTCCAAAACTTTATTTTATAAGTGCGAAATGCTTGGGTACTAACAAAATAAGAATAAATGTTGGTTTAAGTTACATTTATAAAGAAACAATTCCAAAATAATTAATTTAAAATAGTAGTACTTCCCTTGCACTGAAGAATGGCATCTATATGTTCTGTCTTCCAACTGGTGTTGAGACAAACTTTTAGATATCTTTTGAAAATAGATTAAAATGTTTAATTAAAAGCATCCATATACATCAAGGTGAAAATACTCTAAACAGAAATCACCTTGTTAAAACTGGTAAGTCAGTTTGGCAACTTATACTGATAACAGATATATATATACTGATATCTGACAATAACACGATTAAGCATGTCTAAGGCAGTTTAATACAATTATTTACTTTAAAAATGTTCATTTTGAGCATCATATGCAGTTTGTCTGAGTTTTGTACATGGAACTTTACCTAGTGCGCTGAGTAGAAAGCATTCTACTTCAGATACAAAATTCATAACAACCCAAATTTGACAGGTGGCTGAAGTGTTAGGAACAGTAACACGAGAAGACAGAATGTAGTTTATATTGGCTTTTAGAGAAAAAACTGGCTTGTATAGCTTCTTGGTTCCTTTTTGTAAAATTTACATTAGTTCATTTTTTAAAACCTGAACTCATACTTTTGCATTTTTACTATTCATCTTGTTTGAGAATACATATATCTTTAAAATTTTTGTATCCTACCAGTGATTAGTGTACAGTAATTACTGAGTTCATTTAATAAGAATAAATGAAAATATAATTTTTAAGATTTTGAAATTAAATATATGGTAAAATAGAATGTTTTATATATCTCAAAAATTAATTTATATTCTTAACACATTCTAAAAATATTTTTAGTTTTGTAAATCCACATGGCTTTTAACAAGTAAAATGCCTATTTTGTTATATGCTGCATTTTCATTCTTAATCACTATGAATTATGACATTTTCACACAATAAAAATAGCTTGTATCAGTATGTTGTTTTGTTTTTCATTTGAGAAACTTAAATGATTTCTTTTTGGTAATAAAATAAAGGATTTTTAAAAATATGATTGTTGACATTTTAAGTTGAGAAATTAAAATAATACACTTTTTTGTTTTTCATTAAAAACTTTTTTCTCTGCATACATTTTTATATATGTGAGACAAACATTAAAAGACTGAAAAACAACATCGTATTGCCTTACGATTCTAGATGACTCAAGGTCTGTCTCTTGAGATACAACTATTATCCAAAAGATACAGCTTCACTTATTTGGAGGATAATTCTGTATACCTTTTATGTGTAAAATATATAACATATATACAATTTTGTAGGTCATTGATATGAGTATAAAATAGTTTTTTATACTATTTCTAGAAACAACAGTAGAAAGAAATGTTGAAAAATGCTAAACTATTTTAGCTATTGTGTTTTCCTCAGTTTTTCAAACGAGGTTTTTTAATTTGTCTTTTATAATGGAGGAAGCAAATTCATAATTTTGTAAAAATTAAATGCCATGTTTTCTGCAGGTTTAAGATTAAATGCTTTTTAAGTGCCAAATTATAGAATAGAATTCACCTAATTTGTAAACATTGCACGCAGCCATGAAATTAAAAGATGCTTGCTCCTTGGGAGAAAAGCTATGACAAACCTAGATAGCACATTAGAAAGTAGAGACATTACTTTGCCAACATAGGTCCATCCAGTCAAAGCCATGGTTTTTCCAGTAGTCATGTATGGATGTGAGAGTTGGACTATAAAGAAAGCTGAGTGCCAAAGAATTGATGCTTTTGAACTGTGGTGTTGGAGAAGACTCTTGAGAGTCCCTTGAACAGCAAGGAGATCCAACTAGCCCATCCTAAAGGAGATCAGTCCTGAATATTCACTGGAAGGACTGATGATGAAGCTGAAGCTCCAATATTTTGGCCACCTGATGGGAAGGACTGACTCATTTGTAAAGACCCTGATGCTGGGAATGATTGAAGGCAGGAAGAGAAAGGGACAACACAGGATGAGATGGTTGGATGGCATTGCCGACTCAATGGACATGAGTTTGAATAAGCTCCAAGAATTGGTGATGGACAGGGAAGCCTGGCATGCTGCAGTCCGTGGGGTCGCAAAGAGTTGGACACAACTGAGCAACTGAACTGAACTGAATTTATAAAACTTCCTGTGAATAGTTGAGGCTCATTCAGCATTAGAATATGCCATTACGTTTGAGGCTGATCTCTTACTTAGTATTCTTTTACTATGGCAATATTTTATTTTATTTGCTACTTGGTTCTATTTGCTATGCTTTTTGTATTATTCAGTTTCTCCCATTAAAGAAATACTATTCCTGCAGATGGCAAAAGCTTATAAAAAAATGACACTGCCTATGTAAATAAAGCTATAGGTTATATATTTTGTTATCCTTTGCTCTGCCACTTAAATTTTTCTCTAACTGAAGTATACTTTGCAGCTGAGATTCTGCTAATACCCTCTAGTTTATCAAGAAATACATTCTAGTGTATCCAAAAAATAAATTAATATCTTTCAAAGCTTACATTAAAAATGCTTTAAATTATCAAAATAGTAATAATCCATTGTCTTTGTGGAAACATAATAGCAGTCTTTTTTTCTAAATAGTAAATCAGAAATGAATTTTCTTTATTGAATGGGAGTTTATGTTAAATGGAAAATATGAAGAAAATCATTTGTCAGGTTACAGCAGGAGTTGTGAATTCCTTTTGCCTGATGATGAGAAAACAACTTATGTCCTGGGTAAATGAACTAGTGATCTCCAAATTTTATACATCCTTTTCAGTAAACGCTTTTGGTATACAATAAATATAAAGTTACTGTATTAGTTTGCTAGGACTGCCAGAACAAAGAGTACCACAGACTGGGTGACCTAAACAAGAGACATCTATTTTCTCATAGCTCTGAAGCCTGGAAGTCCAAGATCAAGATGTTGGCAACCTTGTCTGAAACCTCTCTCCTTGGCTTACCTGGCCGCCTCCTCCCTGTGTCTTCACATGGCCTTTTCTCTGTGTTCATTTGCTGTTAGTGGCTCAGAGTGCCCAAATTTCCTCTTTTATAAGGACCCCAATCAGTTCGATTAGGACCCACCCTAAAGGACTCCCTTTAACTTAATCACTTCTGAAAAGGCCCTATTTCCAAACAGTCACATTCTGAGGTAATGGATGGGAGAGGGCAGGGGAGGGGAGAGTTACGGCTTCAACATAAGGAATTTTCAGGGGAAAAGTTTCAGCCCTTAATTATGTACATGTTCTCCCGTATTTTGTATATATGCCCTCCTAACTTTTTTAAAGATTAGAAAAAAAGTTAAATACCAGTTACTATCTTCACTTCCCAGCTCCAGAGGATTATTGTCAGCTGTAGTTTGTAGACACCACTTTGGAGGGCTGTTAATAAAAAAGTGAGAGTCTCAGCTGAGTACTAAAGTGAAGTCCAAGATTGCCTTGCCTGTAACTATGTTCTCCTGCATTGATGGTATGTTTCTCTGTTGTGTTTTTCTGCCATTCAATTTAAGAAGCTAACACTCTTGATATCAGATTGTTTCACTTACAAACCCTGTCTTTACCTTTTTGATGAATAAACCTAAACATGAAGCACTGTCAGAGGTGTTTTATATAAATATGAAAATTCCTGGTTTATTCTGAAACACTTCTTAAATAACCTCACAATAAAATTGCATAGGTATGTAGAAATTATTTTCTTGTAAAGCAGTAAGTCCTTATATTCTTAAGCTGCTTCAGTCTTTATCATAATGATAGCAATTTTAAAACCTTAGTACAGTTTCTGGTGTTTGTGTCAGCTTACTCTCATGTCAGCTTCTTATCTCATGTTTGCAAAAACAAGTCTGCCTCTAACAGTTTCTCTTCTTAAAACTAAGTGTAGAACTTTGTTTATTCTCCAGTAGCTATTTGGTGTCAGGTAAGGGAAATCCATTAATATTTTTACGATACTGATACTGATTCTAATAGATTAGCAGGTCAAATGAGAAAGGTCAAACTAAAGAAAAAAGGGAGAAAGAAACTGAAGCAGCTCCCCTCTGTGAGAAGAAATTTCCAAGCAGTGGAATCAGTTACAAACAATTGCATACAAATTTAAAATATTTTCATGTTTAAAATCATGATTTTAAGAAGAATTGGAAAAGTACTTGAAAATGTGATATGGTTAATAGCGCTAATATAAAGGTAAATATAAATAGCACTAAGCTCCTGATAAATGGATATGAGTAGGTAATTTACAACAGAAATATAGTAATAAGATTGTAAGATCTACCAGACTAAGGACATAATTGAAAATTACAAGATTATCAGACATGCAAAGATCATGAAAAAGTCTATCAATAAGATAGTATGTTAACCTACGTACTTTCAACTACCATGCAACTTCTAGAAATTATGTACTGTATATGAAGAATTTTTAATTAAAAAATGCTTATTAAAACAGGGTACAATCTTATATTTTTAGCAAATTTGAAAATGCATAAAATTAGAGAAACACACCAAAATGTTAATAGTGATTACTTCCAGTGGCATTATGCATAATTTTCATTCTCATAGGCTTAAAAGTTTTATTTCAATAAAAATCAGAAAACAATTATGCTAAAGAAGAAGTTACAAAACAATATAATAACTAATATGACCTCTTTCCAAGCATAACATATCCCCTTTCCCTTAAAGAAAAATAGTATATATGATTTCTACCTTCTTAAAAGTTTTTTATATGTCTACATTGCAATTATACCACTACCACATTGATTCATTAAATGCAACCATCTGTAAGACGTACAGAAAAAAATAAACTATATGAAATCTCTTAGAGGCTTAAAGGTACACTAATGACTTTTCCTTAAACTTTCAATAAAATGATGCATTTATTCACCTCCTTAATACTGTACTTTTTTTACACCAAATCTAAATTCATTTTTAATTATTGGATAACTTGTTTAAATAAATATATTAAGCTTCAAATCACAATAGAGGTAGTGAAATTTATCTTTTTACATGGTCTTAAGATTTGCACTTATAGTATATACTTAAGACTGATATTTTGAGCATCAATGGTCTCAAAATGATGATGCTCATTAAATATTAGGCACTACCTTAGCACTTTCTCTGATAAACTGCTAATTGATATTACAAGGGAACAACTAAAGAGTAACACTAAAAGAGCAAATAAATTGCTATTCCTATCAGAATGGGTGTGATCCTTTCCAGAGAACCAGTAACCCTTCCCCTAGTAAAAGTGGGTGAGGAGGTTCATTTTTTAGGGTGTTAGAATGTAAGGTCATTTTGTTAGTCAGCATTTGGTATCAGACCTTGGTGATAATCACTAACATCAAGATAGTGAATAAAATACACAGTAGCAGCTAACATTTGGGTGTTAACTGTTTCTTAATCTCTATGCTAAACGTTTTACCTGTGTATTTAAATCAACGTAATCCTTTATCTCTCCCTGAGAGATTATTCCCCTGAGCCATCTCTAGGAAACGCGTAACACATTTTTTTCATCATATCCGTCCCTTGAGTCCTGAATATCTGGGCTAATGGGAATCTTCAGATTTGGTATATTAGCAGTAACTATCCTCGCCTCTGAGAACATCTTAAAGCAACGATCATACAACAAGCTGACTTATTAGGAAAAACACCTGACTCTGGAAAAGATTAAAGGTAGCAGGAGAAGGGGACAACAGAGGAAGAGATGATTGGATGGTATCACCGACCCAATGGACATGAGCTTGAGTAAACTGGAGTTGTGAGGGACAGGGAATCCTGGAGAGCTGCAGTCCATGGGGTCGCAGAGTCAGGCACGATTGAGCGATTGCACAACAACAGTGACAAACACTTCCATTCTTTTTCTGAACTTCAAATACAGGGCAGAAAGAAATTTTTCAGAGTGAGGCGTGGTTTCTGAAGGACCTCTGCCCAAGGCTCCGCCCAGGGGCTCCGGCCACGCCCCCGGAGTAGGTAGGCACTGCCGCCTCCACCCACTATGGAAGTAACTTTGCTCTAGCCCCTCGCGGGACACGTCGTGTCCGACTCTTTGTGACCCCATGGACTGTCAGGCTTCTCTGTCCATGGAATTCACCAGGCAAGATTACTGGAGTGGGTTGCCATTCCCTTTTCCAGGGGATGCTCCCGACCCAGGGATTGAACCTAGGCATTCCTCACCACAGGCGGATTCTTGACCTTCTGAGCCACCAGGGAAAGCCTCGCGGGACCTGGATCTTTCAATAGGAGAGATTTCATAACTCGGGCAAAACAGAATCTCGCGAGAAGTTGAACCGGAAACGTGAGGGATGGGAGAGAATTCCGGCGAAAATCGGAAGACGGGTTGTTCATTTGGTTCCCTGCAAGCTTTAGATACCCGGTGGAATTGATTTCTTGTTTGATCTCTCCTGACGGGATGGTGTTGACCTTGGTGAGGGCTGGGACCCAGCCGCGTCCCTGAGCCAGAAGCATTACCGACCGATGACATTGCGAGGGAGGTGGCTGGGATGCGGGCAACTTGGTGATCTCCGGCTTTCTTTAGCTTCAGTCCAAAGCCCTAGAATAATGCTCAGTGTTTTGACGCTTGCTCTTGAGCGTTCTGTTTTCTCCCAAGACTCACCTCCGCCGCAAGTAAGCGGTCTGCACTGTAGCCTGCAGGCTTTAATATCCTTTCAGCTTTGAGCATTCCGGAATGCAGGATCTTGGAAGGCTGAAACTGTCCTTGTCCCCGTGTTATGCTGGGAGATTAGAAGAATGTCTGTTACATAATTGGCCTTCGATAAACTCCTTCGAATTAGTAAATGAGATAAAGCTGCAGCGAAGTTTCCATAGGAAACTAACTTTTCTTCTAAATTCACTTTATTTTGGAATAATTTTACATTTACAAAAAATATTGCTAAGATAATACAGACTCCCCACGTGCTTTTCCCTGAGTTCCCCTGATGTAGATTAATTTTGTTCTTTTGACACACATTCATATGTTAGCACCACAATGCCACTTCACCTTTTGCCTTACATTTGAGCAGTCATTTGGAGAAACGTTTTTTATAAGTAGATAGAGTATGATAATATAGTTTTATTACGTGTGAGGTATGGCTCCTATCTTAACTGGTAATTATGAGGGGGGAGAAAATAGTGTTACCTTAAGAAAAAAGACTGTGCTAGTAATGTTGAAATTCAGTAGATTTGTAATATAATGTGTCAGCAAACTTTTCTTATCATCATAGCTGAAAGCAAAACCAGAGACGAAGCTTGGAAAACAGATTTGCAAAGTTGTATTGGATCATTTTGAAAAGCAGTATTCCAAAGAACTTGGAGATGCATGGAATACAGTAAGGTTAGTATAATTCATCTTTTGATGCTTTATGAAAGAACAAGAAATAAACCCTTCTGGGATAGGGGTACTGTGAAGATAAAAGAGTTTAAACCTGGCTACCATTTCTTGCTGTAGCTTCAGAAGAGAAGAAAGAGGAAATAGCTTGAATCATAGGAAGATGGAAAAGGGAGAAAGAAAAGTTTGTAGTCATAATTTTGTTATAAGCAAACATTGTTAAACCTTGCCCTGATTAATTGCTTTAATCTTTGAAACCAGACTGCCCACCAGTCTGACAAAATTAATTATACTGTAATGGAAATGTTTTTAAACTTCTGAGGATATTTGACTAATTTCTGAAAATTCAGGAGATAACGCAACAGATCTTTAAAGCCATCACTGCTTTATCTTGGCTAAAGTCACTTTGTTTTGTAATCATGTTTCTTCTGTATGTCTTTAGCTTTATGTTTTGAACATACGTGCCTATGCACACACATACACAAATTATTTAAATGTTTTGTAGAAAACAGAAATGAGAAATAATTCAGTGCATAGACACGAGAGAAGTTTGATTTGTATGTTCAGTGAGTTTTGCATTTGATCAGTATGTTACTCTATGGGTTCTTTACATTGAGTGTCTGATGCACTATACCATACCCTGTGAAACAGTAAGACAGTCCCCACGTCCAGTTTTCTGACAGTCTGGTATAGGAGAGGAGGAGCATGATTAAAACTATATAAACTGCTAATTCTATAAGTATCCCAATAGAAGTAGGCAGGAGTACCTAGTCCCACGTAAGAAGGCCTGATGGTGACAGCAAAGACCTGAGGAGAAGCCAGGTCTTGGTAATTTGACAAAGTCTGAGATGGTTCTGAAGTAATTTTAGACAAACTGTTTTAGAAACTTGTAAATACTGTAGCTTGAAAATGTAGTTTATAGTTGGAGATTTTTTTCAAAACTAGAGTTTTTAAATGAGCGTCTTCTGTCACAGAGAAGAAAAGAGGGATGAATAGTGAAGTGTGTAATTAGTTCATGAGGTTTTCAGTATGCAGAGTTAACTCAGCTAGAATAGCCCCATAACCAGACATCTGCAGCATGCTTATTATGTGCCAGGCAATACTGCCTTTATTTGATGCTTGGAAGAAACCTCCCAGATTTCCTACTTTTCACGTGAGGGAACTGCACATAGTAAGTATTACAATTTGCCCAGGTTCACTCAGCTACTAAGTGTCAGAACTAGGGTTTGTTCTAGAAACTAGGGTTTCAATTTGCCTCTCTGGTTCACAAACTCCTACTGGTCACCCCTATTCTGTATGTCTCTCATACCTTAGATGTAATTAGGCATAAATGGATGATTAAAAAAAAATTTCAAGAAGTGTATTGTCTTCAGACAACAGTAATCTGGCTACTCAGACCCTGTAATGAGTTATTTTTATGCTTAATGTGCTCAGACAGATTTATAAATTATTATTTGACCCTAACCAAAATGAGCAGTGAACCTCAAATCCATTTGATTAGCCATGCCTTCTGCTTCATCTACCTTTTTGTTGGGTTTTCATGGTAATTTACGTTTTGCATAAACATGTGCTAAATTTGCCGTAAGCAAAATAAAGGCTTTCTCTGCTTAGAAAGTAGCCTGAGCATGGAGCATGGCATGGGGAAAGAAGAACAGAAGGGTTTTTGTTTTTTAACTGTTTATTTCCAAGACATAATATTGTGCTTGCAGAGTCTGTGTACTTTCAGGGGAAGGAGAGTGGGTTCTTGTGCTATCTAGAAAGCTAATAATTTGCTCAGTATTTTTAGTTATAGTGGGAAGATTTAGTGTTTACTTTTATTGCTCTGCAAAAATCTTTCTTGCCGTCATCCTCTGAACAGCCCTTTGAAGTTGAATTTACCCTGATTCAGTTTTTGCCTTGTTACCTACATGCTCTTCAGGTGAGCCCATTCATGTCGTGTCTTTAAAGGGCCCTCAGTATGCTCTCATCGCCTGTGGTGCAGCCCTTCCATGGAAGGGAAGCAGGAAACAATGTCAAGAACGACTAGGAGACCATCAGCTCATTATTAAAATCTCTGCAGACTAAAAATAAAATGGCTCAAGAACATATCTGGATGGACATCTGTGAATTGATTATTTCTGGATTTCTAAACAAGACTTTTTAAATGATTGTATGAGCGCTCTCTAGTGGGCAATAATAGCAGTAAAACAGAAGGGATTTCTTTATTTTAACCATGAACTCTTTTTGTGGGTTCTATAATCTGTGCAGTTACACGAACTAAGCAATGGTACTTAGCAATGTGTAGATAAGATAATTTTTTATCCTCATCATTAGATAGAATGGAGAATAAAATAGTAAAGAAAAGAAAATCACAGAAAAGTTGAAAATTATGTAACAGGCATTGTCCAAATAATACGCAATTTTCAAGGGATATGTGAGCACAGGCAAGTTACTGTGATCGACTTCCAGATGCTCAGCTTTCATATATGTTCTTTCAGAGGATTACTCTGCTTCCCTTGATTAAGGGGGTGCTTATTCCTCTTTCCCAACCTGCCCTTCTACAATTGTCTTTGTCCCACTTTACAAAAAAAAGTCTCACTTTCACTATCCTGACTCTTCCACAATGCATTCCCTCCAGGGTATCAGAAATCCCTCTGCAAGAAACTATGGGACTGCAGTGTAAATGACTACCAGATTCTTTGACAGGTTAGATGGCTTCCAAGTTTTGCTTTTAGCAAAAGTAAAGGACTTGCAATTGAGCTGTTAGCTAACAAATCACTTAAAATCTTTCTGAAGATACTTAATTTGGTGAGTGGAGATCATAACAGAAAATATTTTAGCAAAAGGGAGACATTGCTTTAGCAAAATGTATTTAATTCTCATCTACTTATTTAAATGAAGGTTTTTCTTACCCCTTCTAAAAACGTAAAATAGGAATTGATGTTGAACCCTGGTCATTATTTGTTGTTGTTATTTAGTCGCTCAGTTGTGTCCCGACTCTTTTGAGACCCCTGAATTGCATCCCACCAGGCTTCTCTGTGGGATTTTCCAGTTCAAAACACTGGAGCGGGTTGCCATTTCCTTCTCCAGGGGATCTTCCTGACCCAGGGATCGAACCCACATCTCCTGTATTGCAGGCAGATTCTTTATCACTAGGCCACCACAGAAACAGAAATTGTTGAACCCTGGTCATTATAGCACTAGGTAATATTCATTCCTGGATGCATCTAGTTTCAATAAGGGAGCCATTTCCTATGAATTTTTTATTTTTATGTTTATTTTATATATTTTTTTTCTCTTTTTATGTTTAGAAGGAAAGGGAAAGTTGCTCAGTAGTGGCCGACTCTTTGCGACGCCATGGGCTATATAGTCTTATTCTCCAGGCCAGAATACTGGAGTGGGTAGCCTTTCTCTTCTCCAGGGAATCTTCCCAGCCCAGGGACTGAATCCAGGTTTCCTTCATTGCAGACAGATTCTTTACCAGTTGAGCCACAGGGAAGCCCCTTTTTATGTATAGATAATTATCAAATGTAGAAGTTATTTTGGTCTATTTTGTACTAATAATTTTATTGATACCTACTCTGAAGCTACTATTTTAACACTTAGAACTTTAAGGCTACAATGAAAACAAATTTAGTATATACACAGGTGTCTGTGAGTGTGTGTGTGTGTGTGTGAGAGAAATAAGATAGGGTAATAAAGATTAAAAGCACAAAATTATATCAGGACTTAAAGCTATAAAAGTTATATGGGGAAATAGAATATAAAGAAAAGGGAAAGGAAGAGTGTAAAATTTCCACCTGTTCAGGAAGAGTCAGTCCATGAATTTTTAAATGGACAATGATGGGTTTTAAAATCACTCGGGTATTTAGGTTCTGCAGGATAGATTTTAAAAAGTAGTGTAATTTATATTTTAAAATGTCAATTTTTACAGTATGCTGGAAGCTACATCCTTAAACATACGGTGAAGATTTTGATATCAACTTGAAATGTTGCAGAGGGTACAGAGTTTTTTTTTTTTCCCCCAAAATGATACCAGTGGATGTACTAGCAAAACATTTGCAGGTCACTAATCTTGTAGGTCCCAGTTCTGCTGATTGCTGATGTAGTTGAACTTCTGGCTTGGAGACCAGTAAGTGAAGCAGCTTCAGAATCTTGAGAGGAGGCCTGAAATATGGCATCTGGCCAGTGTCTTCTTAAGTCTTCTAGTATATGCTCCCTCCACTGTCTACTGGGCTACTTGCCCATCCATCAGAGCTTTCAAAATGAGTAGGGGCATCGTCCCACCAGTGCAGGCACTGGAGGGTGTGTGTTGGCGGGGAGGGAGGGAGGAGGAAGTTACCAGGCGGTGCACGGAGAGCTGAGGTGCACACTAGTACACAGCTTTGCTTTCTCAGGGCTGGTTACGTGCCACCCTGAGCAACCTTAGCAGTCCCATCATTGGAGTGATGATGTAGCTGCTCCTCAAGGGCCGCTCAAGTCAAGCTGTTCCCATTGTTAAGAGACAATAGGCTCTTCCGAGAAGCGGGGCCTCTGGCAAGTAGGCGAGCTTTGGAGAAGAGCTTCTCCTCCTTTTCCGTCGTGTACCACTTGCGCTGCAGTGCTGCGGGCTCACACTCCTATTAGACTTTAAAGCCTGGGGATTTGAATCAGAGACTTCTGCTTCAGTAGTGATGTGACCTTGGAAGTTGCCACATCTCTGAAAACCTCCGTTAGCCTGCCCTCTAAAATAAGCATAATAGCTGCCCCTCACCAAAGGCACATAGTAAGCATCTGGTCAGTAATCTTTGTTATTATTAATAGTGTCAGGGTGAGGTGGAGCCAGCGGATTGGATGGTAGGTAGAAAGGCTTCTCTGGAGAGAGGAGGCCTAATAGCAAGCAGGAGAGTTAGCCAGGCTGCAGGTTGGTGGGAGAGGAAAGGTCAGTTTAGTGCAGAGGGGCCAGTTAATGCTCAGATTGTTAAAGACTATAAAGAAAATATTCCGGTAGTTCAGTTGGCTGGGTATAGATTAGGAGGGATCAGAAAATTGGTTTGTTCTGAAGAAGGGATTATTTTATCTAGTTGTTAGAGAATGAGATAGGATTAATTTCTGAAGATTCCTGCCACATCCTGCTGTCAGTACATGTTTTTAGATCTAATGAGGCTGTCCCCTCTTAAAGTCTTTCAGTGACTTCTCATCTATAGGAATTTAAAATTTATAAGGTAAAATTTTCAAACTTGATAATCTTAGACTTGTCCCGTGTAATCTTCTGCCACACTGGACTACTTTTAATTCCCCAAATGCACTGTTCTCCATCATTCCTTGGTGCCTGTACACACACTATGGCGTTTGCCTTGGAACTTGTGTTCTCTTTTCATCCTGCGGCTAATTCCTCATCCTTTAAGATTTAGCATATTGCATAGTGTACACGAATCTACAGTGTTCCTGAACTAACAGTCCTTGCATACAATAAGGTTAAATAAAATATGCAAGATTAATAACCTTTGCTAAGGGATCTGAAAGAAAATGTGAATAAATGGAGAAACATATTGTGATGAAAGAAAGAGTGAATACAATAAAGATGTTAATTCTCCCCAAATTTAGTACATTTAATATAATCCTAGTCAAAGTTTTTGTCTGTCTAAATCAGTTCAGTTCAGTTCAGTAGCTCAGTCGTTTCCAACTCTTTGTGACCCCATGGACTGCAGCACGCCAGGCCTCTCTGTCCATCACCAACTCCCGGAGTTTACCCAAACTCATGTCCATCGAGTCGGTGATGCCATCCAACCATCTCATCCTCTGTCATCCCCTTCTCCTCCTGCCTTCAATCTTTTCCAGCATCAGGGTCTTTTCCAGTGAGTCAGTTCTTTGCATCAGGTGGCCAAAGTATTGGAGTTTCAGCTTCAACATCAGTCCTTCCAATGAATATTCAGGACTGATTTCCTTTAGGATGGACTGGTTTGATCTCCTTGCTGCTGGAGATCTAACCAGTCCACCCTAAAGGCAATCTGTCTAAATATATCTATACAAATATTTTATAAAATATTTTAAACTGACCAACTGCTTTTCATGTTCATGTGAGATAATAAACATTCTAAAAGAGCTTTGGAAATTATGAAGAAAAAAATTAGATTTTTCTGCCATATGTTAACCAATAGGAAGTGTTTAAAGCCAGATGAAAGTGTATAAAGCCAATTAAAAGTGCCCTGCCAGATGTTAACCAATTGGAAGTGTGTAAAGGCAATTGTTAACTAAGGGATGGACCCATGATGTAAACCAAGCCTCTCCAGTCTGTATTAATAAAATTGTACTTCTGAGCATTATTTCCCTGTTACTTTGTCAACAAAGGTCTGTCTAGTCAAGGCTGTGGTTTTTCCAGTGGTCATATATGGATGTGAGAGTTGGACTATAAAGAAAGCTGAGCACTGAAGAATTGATGCCGTGGTGTTGGAGAAGACTCTTGAGAGTCCCTTGGACGGCAGAGAGATCCAACCAGTACGTCCTAAAGGAGATGAGTTCTGGGTGTTCATTGGAAGGACTGATGTTGAAGCTGAAATTCCAGTATTTTGGCCACCTGCTGCGAAGAGCTGACTTATTTGAGAAGACCCTGATGCTGGGAAAGATTGAGGGCAGGAGGAGAAGGGGACGACAGAGGATGAGATGATTGGATGGCATCACTGACTTGATGGACATGGGTTTGGGTGGGCTCTGGGAGTTGGTGATGAACAGGGAGGCCTGGCGTGCTGTGGTCCATGGGATTGCAAAGAGTCAGACACGACTGAGCGACTGAACTGATTTGAACTGAACATGACTCAAACTTTGGATCGATATTTAGCCAGTTTGGAGGGTATAATTAGGATGGACTGACATAAGGTTACAACAATAGATTTCCTTTTAGGGTCCATTTTAATTCAGTGGTTCCCAAAGTGTGGTCTGTGGCTCAGCAGCATTAATGTCACGTGAGGACTTGCTAGAACGACAACAGGAAACCCCAGGTGGGGCCCAGCAGTATCTTACAGTCACTAGATGTACGTTAAAGTTCATGAAGCATGCTTGTAAAGAAAGAGGTTGTCGTCTCCCGGTAGAGCTGAAATGCCGGGCTTCTGTGATGCACTGTCATAGTAAGAGGTAGTGATAAGAGAAAGCAATTTCACATATTAGCCTCAATTGAAATTCACATGGCACTCTTCCAGTCGCAGGTGTTACATTTCAATCCAGCCATTCCTCACATAGGCAACACCAGGGTGAGTAGCAGCTGGAATTTATTTAATTGACCATGGTTAATGAGGCTCCCAAATAACTCAGCTAGAAAGGTCAGCTCGTAAATAGATTAAATATTTCCTCCTGTATCATTTGTCAGTTGATGTGAGCTTGTGATTGTCAAGAGATCTAACTGTTGGACCGAATAAAAAATTAGGAAGGTACATCTGCTGGGGAGGTGGGGGCAGGGAAAACCTGCACCATTAGTCCATAAGTGATTTTTAAATCATGCTTGGTTTTGTATCCTCTGAGCCACTGATCGCCTCATTAGCTCTGTTACTGTAGTGTTCACTGTAGTTGGCTTTCCATACTTTTATCTTCATGAGAGGAAAACTTGAATACTTACTCTTTTGAACAGCCTTTAATGATAGTACTTTTCCCTTCAAAATTAAGACTCAGGTTTTAAATTTTTTCTTAAGAAAAACACTTCCTTGTGCAAAGAGTGATAGACTAAAGTCTTATTTTGATGGATTTTGAAGTATGCTAAAGACAGGTCATGTTTTTTTTCACAAGATAATGTGCAGGGAAGGTCAAGACTGAGAAGCAAATGAGGCATTCCTCTTCAGTGCAGATTTTAAGGGGCCCCTAAAACTCAGAAACCAAGATAAACATTGTTTTAGTGACCAAAACTGATACCAGAGAAAAAACCCGCGATGAGCAAAATATCAGAGTTTTAAAAACAGGATCATAACAGTGCTGTGTTGAGCTATATGGGAGCCTGAGGCAAAAGAAAAAGTCATTCTGGCTCTTGGTTCTGAAAATCATAGGTAAATAAAGCATAAGGCTAGGACCTCGTTCCCTGGCTTAGTATCAAATTGTATTACCGTGTATAATGTTAATACCCCTTTGTTTATCTTTTTCTCTCTAGGGACATACTGACATCTCCATCTTGTTGGCAATATGCTGTTCTTCTTAACAGATTCAATTACCCTTTTGAACTGGAAAAGGATTTACATCTGAAGGGCTATCACTCACTCTTTCAAGGATCTTTACCCTACTATCCTAAATCAATGAAATGTTACCTTAGCAGAACTCCTCACAGAATGCCTTCAGAAAGACACCAAATTGGAAACCTAAAAAAATACTATCTCCTGAATGCCGCCTCCCTTCTCCCAGTACTGGCTCTGGAATTGAGGGATGGGGAGAAGGTACTGGATCTGTGTGCCGCCCCTGGAGGCAAATCTCTAGCTCTGCTGCAGTGCGCTTATCCAGGTAATGTACTTTTCTCTCCATAATTGACAACTTTTAAATGTTCACATGTTACAGAATACTTTTAGACTATGCGAGGAGAAATGTAAGATTGAATTTTCAGACTTTGAAAGCCTAAAAACCAAGACAGTGTGGAGAAGAGTAGAAGTTTTGCTGAGGAAGTAGTGTAAATACCCTTTTTTTTCCCCCAGCTACTTAATCCTTACAGGTAATTGGGAGACTACAACAAAACTACAACATTTTGTGAACACAGATCTTTCAGATAATATGAAACCTGATGAGCTAATGGCAAAGATTTTTAAAGTTTTATTGTTGCTTTTACACTTCAGAGTCTTGTATTGATGTCCTGGTTATACTTTTATGCAACAAAAACACACACATTTAAACACATTTTTTGTATTATTGGACCATAAGGTTCTAAGAGAGTTCTGTCCAATAGGAATATAACATGAAGTATATATATAATTTAATGTTTTTGAGCATTCTAATTAATATAAGAAACAAGTGAAATTAATTTTAATAATACATTGTAACCTAATACATTCAAAATCTTATTTGAACATGTAATCAAAATAGAAATTATCAATGAGATATTTGCATTCTCTTTCTTACAGTCTTTGAAATTGGTATGCATTTTACATATAGGGTACATTTTAATTCGGATTAGTCATGTTTCAAGTGCTCACAGCCTCATGTAGCAAGTGGGTATAGTATTGGATAGTGCAATTCTAAAGATTTTAAAAGTTCTTTTGAAAGGACTTATCATTGCTATTATTAGTACTACAAAAAGGATGAAATACATGTAAAATACATTTTTATATATGTTTGTTAAAAGTAATGCATTCATTGCAGATTCTTTTCTTAATGAAACAATGGGACTTTTAAACTATTACTTCAGGTTTCCCTGGATGAAAATTACTTATGGCTAGATGAGACAAGGTTCAGCCTCAATTCTGTCTGGTTTTTGTTTGATAGTTTTGTTTTTATGAGTGCAAATGCTATTCACAGAGAAGAAAAGATGAAATGGTGAGAGTTGTGTTATAGTAATCTCACTAGTTCTTTAAACTCCTGAATTATAACCCTAATCACATAGCTCTCGTTCACTAAGCATTATTTTAATCATCTACTATATAAACACTCTATGTAAATCAATGTAAGAACTATGTAAACTTATGTAAACACTGGGTCTGTTTTTGATTTTGAAGAAGACAAAGAATTGGAAACCAATTTTAAAAGACTGTGTTGCGTAATCAGGAGACTCGTTCACTTTCTCAGCCAAAGCACTAGTGTGCTGCACCGCCTTTGTTTGGAGTGCTCTGGGGGATTCTGTGCTCCGGCACAACTTTCTGTAGTAAGACTCTGGATGGGTGGGAAGTGTGCTTCTCATTTATAAAGTTGGTGAAGAGCTAGGAGAAGCCTTGCCCAGAGGTGTTCTCCTTTTTTAAGAAGCCGATGATCTGAAAATTGATTCCTTTGAAACTATCTAAGCCTGCTTATCCCTTAAAAGTTGTTATGTATCCCCAGGGCTTGCATATCCTAGTTTGAGAACTGATAATATCTTCCTTTGAGAGCATTCCTGTTGAAATAGTTTATAAACATTTTTATGAGAACTCTGAATCCAGTTGTACTAGGCATTGGTACAAGTATACCAGTTAACTGTATATTTTAGGTGAAAACATACTGTGTGTTTTCAAATTGTGGTTAGAACTGTTATTGAAGCTTGCTGTATTTTTTTTTTGGTAAGAAATCACAACGAAAGAGATTATTTTGTAAGTTTGTTTTATTATTTTTATAATTCGAGCTGAAAATGAAATTCTATGGACTCGTGTTATAAGGAGTATTTGTTAGCGCTTTTACCCTCTGTTCTTTGATTGCATGCTTATTTTGTTTGTTACGTCAGTCTTGAATATAGAATTTTTAGTATTGTGAAAAATGGAAGAGAATTGCCAAATTTGGGTACCATTTTGAAAAGAGGGCATTTTAATCCTCGATTATCCTCATTAGTAGGCTATAAATATTTAACATGTTTATGGTAAAGAAATTCAGATTAGGAATCCAAAGGCAAGTGGATATATTCTATGAGTTTGAAGTATAGAAGAATCTTCCTGTTCTTACATCAAGGGCAATGAGTTACAGGCAGTAGTCCAAGTAAAGTAGCTTTTCATCTAAGAAAGGCTAATGATAATGGTTTACTAAGAAGTACAGATGTCTTCATGCTGATGCTCAAATCCCAAATTAGGTTAGCTACAGTGCTTGAATCTGGAATGCAGATGCCATGCTAAAAAAAGCTTTTATGAAAAAAAAAAAAAGCTTTTATAAGCAAAACTTGAAATGATGGCTGCACTAAATGTGCATTTATCCTCTGAATTTCTTCAGATCAGTACTGGCCTTTATTCTGGGTCAGGAGGCTCACAGCTTTGAATAATTAATAAGCTCATATTTTAGGATGATTAAAAAAAATTAGCCTACTTCTCTTCTGGTCTAGCTGCTCCTACCTGTTAGCACGATGAGGGACTGTCCATTGTTTTTTATTGCTCTGTTTTTGTCAGTGGAGCCTCTGTAATATCCTGGTGTTGACAGAAAAAGGAAAAAAAAAACACACTTGATTCTAAATAGGAAAGCATTACCAAGTTAAGAATGACCCAGCTTGATAGAGTGGCTTGATCAGCTTTCTTGCTGAGGGTTCACATGAAATTCACTTTGCTGTCAATAATACCCTTTTCACATCTAGTTAGCTTTTGATGGTAGAGAACATTAGAAAGACTCTTTACTGAATTGCTTTCTCCCTTCTCCCTCTGGGCCTTTGTTCGCCCTACAGGTACCGTTTTCCCTTCTTCCCCTTCGCTAATTCTTTCCCATTCTTCAGGTTTTCACTCAGAAATCAGCTTTCCTAGAAAGCCTTCCAAGAACTCCCTGCATTAGATGCATCTTCTTTTTGGAAATAATAACAGCAGTGATAATTTTGAACATGTAGTAGAAAAAAGAAAAAGTAAAGCCGAGACTCCAAATGCTATTCCTGAAGAAGCTCAATGACTTTTTCAAGAATTTGTTTAATTTATCCCCTTTTCTACTTAGATGAGAAAAAAAAAAAAAGATTTGGTTTATTTTTGGCAATTTAAGCTTGAAAATTAATTCCATCTCAATGTAGTGAGTCTGAGAGAGAGAGAGAGAGTGTGTGTGTGTGTATGTGTATATATGAAACTTGGACTGTAATGCCTTATATTATATATTTTTTAAAGTTTAACCAATTTAATCCTATTTCAAATAAAATCTATCTAGACCAAACTGTAATATAGCATAAAGCTGTATTTCAACTGAGAGTTACTTTAAAATGCTGAATTGAGGATCTTGACTAAAGCTACAGTTTAATGAGGAGCTGCCCTGATTTTCAGTTTTAGCAATTTAAATGTCTTTATTATAATGCCATATTTTACATCAGGTGAGCCACATTTGGTGAGCATATACTATGTGTGAGGCATTGCATGGTAGGTGTAGAGCTCTGAAGGATATAGAGGTAACTAAGACTTCTGTTTCCTGTGATATGACAAACTATTTGTTTTAGCCAACTCTCCTGTTGAAAATAAAAGTGTGGGGTATAATATTAAAGAAAACCAAAATCTTTTAAAGTGTGTTAATGTTCTCCAAAGACTCAGTGGCCAAAAGTTAACAGTTTGAGAACCTGGGAGGTAAATTGAACATTGAAGCTGGATTTTCACTTGAGAGCATTTTTTTTTTTTTTTGCTTCACCTGGAAAACTTATTGCATCATGAACATGTGTGGATACAAGAAGCCAGAGCCTGCTCAGTTAAAGCATCTATCAGAAGATTAATTTGTATAAACCTTAGACTCCAAAATACTTTTCCGTCCAATAAGGTAAACTAGGAAGAAATTATCTTCTCCAAAGAACTGAAAGGAAGATTGTTTTCAGTTTTAGTGGTAGGGGAGGAGTGGACATACCCTCTGAAACTTTGTAACCAGAGCTAAGCCAGCATAGACCATTATGGTGAAGTTGCAGAATTATGGAAATAAAAAACCATCTTAATAGCAGCCAGAGAAGACAGTCTACCTTCAGAGGACAAGAGTTGGACTGAGGAATGACCTCTGAGTGTAATAATGGAAGCTGGCATTCAGAGGAATGATGTTTTCAATGTGCTAAGAAAAGATGACTGCCAATCCAGAAATACATTCATCAAAATATCCTTGAAGAGAAAAAGTAAATTAGACGTTTCTTTTAGACAGAGAGCAAGAGTGTAGTTTGTCACCAGCAATTCTGAAGGAAAAGGGAAAGCCATCCTAGGTGGAAAATGGAAGATACAAAAAGAATTGAAGAAAGAAGAAAGTGAGAAATAAATGGGAAAAATCTCACAGTCATTGGATATAGAAGACAATGATAATGACATTTTATACAGTTAAAAAATATAAGTGCAAATAAAGCCCAATACGTAATGCAATAGCATCTTATTTAGGACGAAATGTTATGAGATTCTTGTATCTTTTAGGAAAAATGGTGGAGATTGACTTATTTTAGGTTTTTCTTTTACATATGCATGTTAAATGCTTTAGGGTTACCACTAAAAGAACAGAATATAAGATATTTAAACCAGAAAAAAGAAAAATGGAATAAAATTTAACTGAACAATAGCCAGCTTGATTACAAACTCTTGTACATTTGTGCTCCCTCCTTGCATGATTTACTTCCTTTTATTTCCCACTCTTGCTTCCCTGGGATCGTACCCTTCTGTGATGTAAACTTTTGTCTTTGGCTGTTTTCCAGTGATTTCAGGCTAAGACAAAAGCTTTCAGACACCTACACATAAGCTGCATTAGTGAATCCTCCAAAAAACCACCCAAAATTAACAATGTAGACCAAATAAAAACGAATGTTCTACCTCTACAAATGAAGCTTTAAGGTGATTTTTCTAGTCCTTTCTGAAACCCCTCCCTAAATTGATGCCATCCTCTGAATTCAGAATCCTTCAAGCTAGGCTTCAGCACTATGGGAA